ATAAACAGCAAATGACCAGACATGAGTTCAAGATTTCAAGTACAAAACCTAACTGTAGAGGTGCATATCTTGGCTTTGACTCGGTCAAGTTTGTAGTTTGAAAAGCTAGAATAGTGCGTGGCCTCGTTGTCACTGGCCAAATGGAGTTTCGAGGGAGTTTTTTTTTTTTTAACGCAGGAAATATCTCAGTTTTGTTGAATTAATTTTTCTGCGCTTGTACACCTCACCCTTAAAAATACATAATCGATTGAGAGCTGATTCGAACACGCAATTTTGGAACCTAAAGACGTTACTACGAGACCATCCGAGCCACTACTCTAAGGAACAATTTTGAACGAGTTTGGATTGCTTATTTTTTGAAACTTTCGTAGAAAAAATATATATTATAATGATTTAATGTATGTTAAATAAAAAATAATTGAGAAATATATTTACGAAAAATATAAAAATATTTTATTAAAAAATTACAATCCAAATAATATTTTACTCATCATTGGGTATCCTTTTCACCAATTATTGCAATCAAACAAGGGAGAAAAATTACAGTCTATCTTTTTTTTCACTTCTTCTTTTTTCTTGAAACAAAGACATAAAACTTCATTCACTGAAAAATTACATAGTACTAGCTGAAGCTGGAAGTTTGTGGGCACACATTACATCATTCTTACTAACTTTAACTATTTTAAAAATCCTAACCAAATTTATGAAAAGTAAAACATCCTCTAAAATAGATGTGACACATGGTGGGCTTTTTATCTCATCAACAAACACCATATTTTCACCGCGACAAACATCCAATTACCACCCTCCAAAACCCAAAAAAACAAAAAAAAAACTACATATTGTATGGTCGTCATATTCAATTTGTTTTCTTATATATTTTGTGATCTAACTATATTCCATTTTAGGGTTTACATCTATCTCACCACACATTACTTGACCTCAAACCACGTTTTATAACAAATTCATGTTTTTTTACATCTAATTATCCTAGATATGGATACAAAATTGTTCTAATATTTGCTCATTTACTTCAATAAATACCCAAGGAAAAAAATAAAAAGAAAATAGAAGGGCAAAGTTGATAGAGAGAAAAGTAACAAAAAAAGAAAAGGAAAAAATGAACGAAGCAGAGGAAGGGAAGTGGGAAGAGTGTCATTTCAGAAAAGCTATGGTTTTTTTTTTCATTAAGCTGATACGTGGTTGAAGCAGAACATGACCTTCGTTAATGACTATATATAGCAAGCGATGGGATGCTACTTGGTAGATGTTGCTTTAATACCAAAACAGCTAATACGCTTAAATGACAAAAATCCCTTTTTAGGGATCTGACTCCCTTACCATTGAAGAGTCAATCATGTCTCTCCCTGGAAACATCCGCTGAATGTGTATATAGATTAAAGATGTACTCATTGCTTTTTTCTGCCGTGCCAATTACACAGTCTTGTATATATCCATGTAACTCTATGTGCGGGGTAGTTGTATACCCTTTGAACAATAAATAGAAATAATACATTGATTGAAATACTACCCTCTTTGCCAACATAAGTTGATTTAGTTAGTAAAAACAAATCACTCGTTCATAAAAACTCATACATTCGAATCTCGCTGTCAATAAGTGTGTTTGGACAGCCAATTATTTGGTCAAATATATTTGCTGACATCACCGTTACAATTTCCAATATATTTTTTTATCTTCTCAATTACCTTTTTATCTCACATACATCACATCACAAAAAATGCTACAGTAAAAATATTTCAAATAACTTACAATCCAAACACAAATGTGAAAACTGTATTAATGAGTGATTTATACGAACATCTATAAAAACGATATATGATTTCGGTGGTATGTTTTGATCCGTGATCATGACTGGAATAGAATCCATCCAAAGTTTTTTTTTTTTGCCAAAAAAGAAAAAGAAAACTACTACTCTCTATAACAAATGGCACGTACGGGACTATCCGATATCCATGGGAGCCTTTTCTCTACTAATAATCAATTTCTTGTTTGCCTGATGAGGAAATGGTAAAACTCGTGCGTCGATATACGAAAGAACGCATGCGAGTCTCAAGGGTTAGCAGTACCTGATGAAATAAGGGGAAAGAAAGAGAGAGAGAGAGAGGAAGCCCCACTGTCAAACACATTTAAAGGTCTGGCCATCATTGCACTAGTACGTCATCATTGTCGTGCATTTGGACTCTCTACTTTCCATTGATTTTGATTTTTGAGACGCATATAATTTTTTGTTTTCCATTTTTGACAACATATGAAACTTTATGCTCCATCTTTTCTTGCCAATGTTTTTGTTTTCGGGTGGATATGTGGTATGTTTTCTTGATTCAAAAGAGACTCTAATTTAAACCTTACAGGAGTAAGCAGAAGAAGGGAGGTTCGAGAACTGAACTACGGGACTTACTCTTACATAGTTAATGTTCCTACCAACCGAGTCTTAGAAGAAATTCATACAGATAATATATATATATGAAGAAGTCACTACAACGATCAAAATTTTCAGAAATTTATGTTTAACTTCGACAGAAAAAAAAAAAGGGTCTAAATAATGCCGAGAGTTTTAGCCCTGAAAATAACTGATTTTGGATGTTCAAATCTAGTGGTTATATACGAATATACGGACCAGCTTATGTCTCCAAGATTTTATGGTGCCAAAAAAATCAAACTGGGATTTTTGAATGTGCATTAAAGTCTTAGCGAACGGCTCCTCATGCTTTTGCAGTTATACTCTGATTCTAAGCTGGAAACGTCTTGGCCCCAACAATGGCTCTGTGGCCTTCTCCTACTACAAACTTTTATTCAGAAGCTGCATTCAATTCCATATATAAATACATATATGTATGTATTACTATCTTTGATTTGGGAAACGCATTAATTTCAGAGTGGTGTTTAAATGTTAGGAGCTCAATGATATCATGTCTTACAGCATCCAGACAAAGTAGCTAGCAACCAGCAGCTGATTAATGTTCATTTGCAATTTTGGTGATAATAATAAGCCTTAAAGGAACATATGTGAAAGTTCGTGCAAACCAGAAACCACACCTGGCATGGTCATTTTCATCTCACAAATTTAAAGTTGTTTGTACATGTTTCACAACATTTGTCCTGTGGTTTCAATGCAAATTTTTTGTACAGCCTTCAACATGTGATAGCTAGCACAAATTAATTTGTTTTCTTTGTTGGAAAGGTAACTTTTCTGATCCTTCTTAGTTTAGTTGGTTTTCTTCTCGAGCCAATTCTGTAAGTTTGTAGGTGATGGTGTTCCTTTCCGGCCGGGTCTATTTGCATAGGACAAGCCTCTCGGATACATAAAAGGGGACTAAATATATGTGAAGAATATTTGTCCTATATATGGAGGAATTATATATGAGAGTATAAACAAAGAAATATATGCAGGATATGATTATCTTATGTTGTGCATGCAACTTTAATTATTATACAAGCATACCAATTGGAATTTGTTGTCACCTGTCATAGTTTAATTTGCATTAACAAGAAAGAGATTAAAGAGCTAGTAGCTATATCCTAATTAATTGAACAGTTAATGGATATATAAGTGCATGCTTAGAGATTTCGAAATCAAAGTAAAAGTTAATTTTTATACCATTGTGCTAGACATCAATCACTAGGGTTTTAGGCTGGTGGACACAAACAATGTCGATCGAGGGTTTATTTAGACAAATTATATGTTTCTTTTCGCGACTATATTCATATCTCTTTGTACGTACTTGTGGAAGGAAAAGGAGTTTCATACTATTCTCCTTCTGGTAAAGGAGTGTTAGTGAATCCTATTAATTGCAGCTTTTCTAAGAAAAGGATGGGCAATTTGTTAGTGAAAATGCGTGCGAAACCTAAAAGAGATCGCACACTTAAAATTAGGTTAAGTTCGACTCGACAGTGTTTGTCCATCTCGTGAGCAACTATTCTTGGCCATTTTGGAGAGTCCCTATTAATTTTTTTTTTTAACTAGCTAGTTTTGTTAGGATGCTTAATTAGCTCCATGGATTGGGCAAAATTTTAGTTGTGTTAGGGTAAAAAATGTTTGCAAGGGCACCTTATATTGCAATGGTTATAATAAACCACTAATTATTTCACTTCCCCTCCTTAATATTTTGCTTATAAACTATCCAACCTTTTTCATTTTAATTCAGACCACGTACCACTTGTTATCCACTTGTTATCCATATTATTCCAAATAATATTTCGTTTGCATCGTAAACATATTTTTCAATTCACCTTTTTATATTCCCAATCATCTTTTTATCTCACATACGTCACATCACAAAAAATGTTAGAATCAAATAACACTCTATCCAAACACTCCAACTACTTTGGCAGAGACATTCTGTCTTTTGAGCATTTGACAATTCAATTATTGATGAGAACGGAGTTTGGAACACCATATGTCACAATTCATAAAACTTAAACAGTCTATTGGACCATTCGCCCTGCCAATATATTATCACTGTCTGGTAACCTGGCAATGTATGAAAATTCGACAGATTCATTTTAACATCTTTTATTTTCTTCGCTTAAAGCTTTCTATTATTGCTGTCTTCCCTGCCTCTCCCTCAAGACTGTAGAATGTCAAAGATTCAAGGAGGTAACAACAAAATAGAACTGTTAAAGGGCCCAGCCGACTATTCTTGTTACTGTGAAACCGCTAAGTTCCAAAGGCCAAGTACATGTTGCCATGACCAAATGCCTTTTTCTTCTGATTGCTAGCTACTGCTTACAATTCCTTTAGCCTGAACCCCAAACTATAATTTATTTCTTTTTTTGATGGACGATTCCTGTTCCTACTTTAACTTATACTGTAGGGAAGGAAGGGTTAGAGGGAGAGTGTCCCAAAACTATAAGTGGTTGAAAATAGACATTAATTCTAACCAGAGTTCAATTCTACTACAACATAATATAAACAAAATCCGAGGAACAAAGAGTAAAACAAAAGATGGACATCCATTTAATGTCAACATACCCCAGCTAAGGTCTAAGTTGTTTACGCATACATATATATTGCAGAAAAATGGGATTTCATCAAAATTCTAGTCGGATTGAACTTGTAAAAATTTAGCATAATAATTGTCAGAGTATGATGACAATATGGTAAGGCAATATTGTAACATCCAAAGCAACAAGGAGTAGAACCCATCAACAGCTAGGGCAGCTGGGTAAGGGCATCTCCTTTTACCAACAACAGGTGGATTTTGGTAGGGTTTTCAGTCCAAGAAGTATGTGAAACCCTAAGATGGTTCAATGGGCGTTCGTCTGCCGTCTCCACCAGCAGCTCTTGGATGCTGAAACTGACTCAGCTGCCCAATGCTTGCTGAAACATTCATGGCAAGAAGGCTGCTGGCATCATAATTATTGCCCCCGTCAAAAGCCCGGATCACTTGTTGCTGATCCCTGGGGAAAAACTGATGATGGTAGTACTGCTCGCGGCCACTTCCACCTCCACCGATGAAGTTGATGCCTAAATTCTGCGGGTGATGATGGTGATGAGTTGTAGCTGTGGCTGCAGCAGCCGCTGCCGCGATTAGGCCATGACTGGTGATGCCTAGGCTTTGATACTTGGAGAGTTCTGACTTGGCACAACTGAGGTCCATCTGAAGCTGGCGGAGCTGGTGTTGGAGGAGGGAAATGACCCCTACGCAGCCGTAAACAGGGTCCCGGAGACGCATGTCGGCCTCATAAGCTAGGGAATTGACAGCATCCTCTCGCTGATGGGGCTGCAATTCATTGAGCAACTTTGTTACATTGCTGGCTCCAAAAACTCTGTGCACATTTGCAAACTTCTGGGGTTGGTCCGGTGGAAAATATGGTGCAAAGACACATTCTGGCTGGCACTTTCGACGGAGAAATTTACATGCTGCACACGGTGAATTGGAGGATGATGCCATGACTACAACTTAGTACAGCAGCTTACTAGTGTTTTCTTCTCTGGTATCTTCTCCTCTTATCCTAAAATGTCAAACACCAAAAAAAAAAAAAAAAAAATTCCCACATCAAATATGCCAAAAAGAAAAACATAAAGCAATAAATGAAACCAAACTTTTTTTTTTGTGTAACAAAAAAAAAAGGAAAAAAAGAGGTTTAAGCATTTTTAATGATGAAAGTGGAAGCTATAACTTAGATGGGATCTGGGATCTCCATAGAGTAGGTATGGAAAATATTCAAGGGAAAATGCATGGAAAAGGTCCAAATTTTGTAATGTCCCTTCTTATTTTTTTGAGGACCTATGTTGAGAAAATGTGGAGAAAAGGGATCTAAAGATACGGGCTACAAGACGGTGTTTTCAGAAGTGCAAATATTCTTCTCACAAGAAGAATAAAGAGAAACATGATAGAGACAATCCAAAACGTATACATATGTTTACCCATTCCACATACTGAAACCATACCCCCACCCCCCCCTCCCCTCGCCCCAAAAAAAAAGAATAAAAAGAAACACAAAAAGGGGAAAAGAATAGGAAAAACAGATCAAGACCGATACTTTCAGGCTAAACTGTTCATTTCCTATTTTCTCTTTTGACTTTGAAAAGAAAAGAGAAAAAGAGAAAAAAATCTAGAGAGGTCAAAATAGATAGGCTGCAAGCCTAGGATAGGAAAAAGTTCACATATTTTCCTTGACATAAGAATTGAAAGAAGGAAGAAATGACATGGCAAAGCAAACCCCAATCCATTTTGCGGCTGCGAGTTTGTAGGAGTCTGCGGCTTTCTTTCTCTTCTATTATTTTCAATGATGAGATATAGGAAGCTAAAATTGAGTGGAAAGGTGAGCAAAAGTAAAAAAGAATAAAAGAGACCAAAAGTTCAAGTTAAGCAGCTTTAAAGGAGCTTGAATAATCATTTTGAAATTCAATAGCCAGAAAATGTTATAAAAGAAAAAAACTGAAGAAATCAATTTGGAAGGCGTAATTAAAATTAAGTACTTGCCCTTAAAAATATCTTGGACACAAACTATAAAGGGCTTCCTTAATTTCACCAAAAGAACAAAAAGATTTTGTCATCCGCTGGTTATTTTGAGGTGACCAGCTATGTTCAAGAAAGGAGAAATTTCAATTTAATTTGAATTCCTAATAACAAGGGAGATTTCAGGGAAATTTGCAACCAAGTCACATGTTTGTAGTAAGAAATCTTGGACAAAGATACATGTATCTTCATTCAGACAGCTGGATAGAAACCCTAATTGGGATTTTCTTGACTTTTTTGAAGACACAAATTATAGAAAAAAGATGGTATATATGTGTGAGCTCGTGCGTGCGTGTGTGTGTGCGTGTGCATACAGCGTACTATGTGTGGACATACCTTAAATTATTAGGGTTAGCAATGCAAGAAAGGAAGATTTTACCGGTAGTATTGTGGATTGGATCTCGTGAAAGTAAGACTTTTCTCTCCTATTGTGTCACTATTTTCGATGCTAAGAAGAGGAAGATCTTGCTTGCATTTCATTCATAACTATGACCAAGAGGGATTTTGTGGGATTGAGGGCAGATGTGATGAAAAAGAAAAGGGAAAGCAAAGAGAGCAAGATTACTTCATTTACCTGTTAAAAAAAAAAGGAGACTGAGGGAGATGTCACTACTCAGTTCAGTACTCACTAGCTAGTTTGTTTCTCTTTTTTTGTTAATCACACATACTACTAAGAAAATATATAGAATTTCCAAAAAACAAATGAGTGTAGTTGTACGAAAATGATAGCAGTCTAAGTAGTAGCCAAGAGGGAAAAAAAAAAGGAAAAGAAAAAAGAAAATGCAAACCTTGTAGTATTATAAAAGATAAAGAACTGAGAATAGAATAAAAGTTGGTGGTGATGGGGCTCTTCCTTAATTCTCTCTTCTATTCTTCCTTCCTAGAAGGTTTGCGTGCCTCGATTTCTTCGGTCAAACCTTTTCCTTCTTTCCTTCTACAGCACCTTTTTGTTTGGCTCCTCTGTTGACAGACGGGGTGATGATACGGTATGATATGATAGGATATTGATCAGCATACACACCAACTTGGATTATTATTGGATCTTGCAAAATGCAAAGCCCTTTTCAATCAACTTTCTAGACTTGAAAGTTGAAAGTTGAAAGCCCTCTTCTCCTCCTCTCAAGAAGCCACCACCAAAAAGGCAAAATCCAAGAACCAGCCTACCGCGCAGCTATATATCTTTCTTCCCTTTTAGTCTTGTCCCGTGAGAAAATACATATGGATGATGGCTAGCTAGCTATGGGTTTTCAGTGGCCTTTTCTTGACCTTTTTTTTGGTGGGAATGGCTTAAAAATAGAGAACAATCATGCAAATGGGATCTTCTTTTTTCTTGGTTGCAAACTTTTCGCCCTTCACTGCTACTAACTTAGTAAAAAAATGAAAAAGAAACAAAAAAATGGCAGGAAACAAGCATACAAAGATGGTGATAAAGTAGGCGAAGCGGAAGAAAAGGAAGACTCCTATGTCGTGAACAAACAATTCAACGTATCCGTAGAGATAGAGATAGAGACAGCCGGAAAGAGAAAAAGAGAGAATGAGAGCGTGAACTTTGGCGTAGTACTGGACTCAAAGGTTGAGAGAAAGAGAGAAAATCCAAAAGGGCTTGTAGTATTTTTTATGCTGAGTACTCGAGTAGTACTAGCAGTGGTAAATGGTAAAATTATAGGAGAGCAGAACAAGAGGGAGAGGAGGAGAGGAAGGAAGGGTAATAAGGTATCGGCGGGGGAAAGTCCCCCAAGACCAGAGCCTAAGGAAACGCGGAGAAAGTAAAGATCACAACTACTACTAGCTCAGCGCGTGAGTGGGAGGTGGGGGGGATCAGACTTCAGAAGGGAGAAGGGTAGAACGTGATGATGAGGTTTTCTATTTTCTTGCTTCTGAATGTGCTGCTGAAATGGTAGGAGGAATAAGTATATAATCCTCCCAATCTGCCTGCTGGCTGGCTGGCTGGCTGGGCTGGCCTAGCTCTATATATTCAGACATCAGAGATTTGAGAGCGAGTTGTCTTCTGTCGTGATATGACTCTTCCTTTTTTCCTTCTCCCCTGATCTAATTATGCTTGGCTATAGTTGTTGGTTTTCGTTGTTATAGGGGTTGTGTTCCTTTATTGTCTTGTGTATTTGTGTCTGTCATATAAGTGAAGATTTTACTTTGTTTTGGTAAGTAGGACATGTTTGGGGTTGCGGGCTCCTCTCTTGGATTTGGACTGTACATAATGACATGTCCTTAAGTACTATCAAATTTGGCATACTAGAAAGCAAGAAGGCTAAGCCTCGTAGTTACTAATAATTTTTCGCTCCATCTTGCAATTGAAAAGGATAGTTATCAAAGAACCAACATGTAGATGTACCTATAGCTAAATATAATTTGCAATTGTTTTATAAAATGATAAAAATTAATTTTATATACACTGACTGACAGCGTATATATTATTTACAAGTATATAAGATTCAAACTGGAAATTTTTGCAACGTGTGTAACTAGTGTATCAATATTTGTTTGTTGAATTTTTTAGGCCAAGGATAATCTTGGTTCGTGTTTTCCAAAAAATTTTCCGTTTGGATTGACTATTTTTTCAAAAACAGTTTTTCAAAAACAATAAAAGTTACAACAAAGTACTCTAAAAGATAATCTAAAAATTAATTTAAAATTTTTTAAAATTTTACCAAATATCTCAAAATAAAGTGCCAATAAAAAATATTTCAAAATATTTTCTAAAAATATTTCAAAATATACTTTAAAAACTCTGCTATAGCAAAGTTTTTCAAAAACATCCCCAAAAACAGCTAATCCAAACGGAGCCAAAAAGGTATATATTTGCCCCATAAGTTTTACACATTGGTACAATGCATTGAGAAACTTTTGTACTCAAATTTTGGAGTTTCAGTGTTCTATAATCAACCCTTTCAAAAAAAAAAAGGTAATTTTTTTTCCTTTTTTTTTGTCTTTGAACAGAACTCGCATCACTCATTGACCAATACAGAAAACCGAAATGTTTTGATGCTAGGCTATCCTTTGCTCTTCTAACCCTCATAGTTGGCAGCTGCAATAGGTACAGATTTTCAATTGCTCTAGTTTTTTTTTTTTTTTTTTTCTGCTGATGGAGTGGGTATTTGAGCCTTTGGCCTGACTAACCCCACTCCGACCCGGGAGAGAAGGCCCCACTCTACTCCGAGCACGGTAGCAAGGGGGCTCGAACCCTGGTTGCCCAGATAAGTCTACCATACCCTAAAGAGGAGGAGCTGACCGCTCGAGCTAACCCTTGGAGGCAAATCGCTCTAGTTATTTGGATTACTTAATAAGAATTGAGTTTGTTAATACATCAACCATTAAATTTATTTTAAATGCTAGAATAATTGGTCATTTACAAATCTAAATACCTCCTAAATAATATAAACAACTATACGTAGTTTGCGAGAATTTCAAATCCTTTATTAAATACCTCGATCCTTTATGTCACAATGTGTCGTGGACACTCAGTAGCCCTGAATTTTAATTGTTACCTATTGTAATAAGCTCAAAATTGACCAATCAGATTAATTGGTTAGACCCTTATTATTAGGGAACAATTTTTGATTAATATAAATCATCTTCAATCTACGAGCGTAGTAAAACCAATAACAGAGCTCTCTTGACAGGGTTGGTGGTGACCATTAGTGGATCGGATCCCATCGAGAGTTGGTCAATGTAGTCCAAGTTCGTTTGACTAGTCTGCCATATTTCACAGTAATCAATTCTTGGGCCGGCCCAGTTAGACACTGTTTTTTTTTTGTTGAAAAATAATCAATCTGTAAATCTTGAAAGAAGTAAATAGTAAAAGTTTTGATTTAGGTTGGTAAGAGAAATATATATAGGAATTATGTTAACTAATGGAGAAATTTGTTTTTTTTTTTATCGTTTTTAAGTGGCATCGGGGACTCGATTATATTTTTAGCATTACAGTCCTCTTTACATTGTACATTAAATAATACGTATTTTTTTAGCTAATATTATGAAAGTTTTTTGATCCACCAACAATTAGTGAATGTTAAATATACATATATTTAAGGGATATGACACTAAAGTGTATTTATTAAGAGTATATCACAAATCCCTGTTGAGGACTGCTCATCTGGTGGTATTCTATACATTAAACAACAGCAAAATGTCCTCTGGAGTAGTCTGTGGTTAGGGGACTTAGGGCCTTAAAGAGTTTGATACTTGGTTTGATAACTTAATTCAACACTTAAAATTAAGGATTAATCTTTTCTTTTATGAATTTAAATTTACTCATAATCTAAGTATAAATAAATTTTATATACACTGACAGTGTATACACTATCACGGTTGGATGCACGCTATATATGCAAAATTTTGGTTTCAAATTCAAGTTCAGATTACGTGTCATGTATTCAATGATAAAAATATATACACTATTAGTGTATAGAAGATTAATCCAAGTATGAGTATACAGTAACAGATTAATGGTTAAATTTTTTTTTTTTATAGAAAAGATCGTTTCATTCAAACAAATATGCACTAATAGCAGAAAATACATCAAACAAACATGACACAGATGCATATAGATCTAAAATCAATAGACATAATAGATCTAAGAAAATAATACAAATAAAGATAACATTGATGCTCCTATATATCTTCCATCCAGATGAATCATTGTGACCCAATATATCAGTTCATGTCTGCTGACAATCAAATGTGATTAAAACTAATTCAAGTCCAAAGAAAAATTTAGATTTGACAATAATGGAGAAATTGCACATTTGAAAAACTAGATTTTAGATCTATAAAATCTCAAATTTCACAAAGATAAAAACCTAAAAACTCTCACAAGAAAAAATTCAAAAGAAAATAAAACTCTAGCTAGAATAATTTAGAAGAGAAGAAACTCTCACTAGGAAATTTTAGAAAAGAAGAATCTCTCATTATGAAGTCCTAAGAGATAATTTATTCAAATAAGAGAAACTAAAAACTATAAAGAATACTTTCTCCTATGGGGAAAGATCAGATTTGATCTCTCTCCCATGGGAGATATGAAAAAGATATCGATTGGAAGAGTTATAGAGAGAAGGGAGAGAAAAGAATTTTAGATAGAAGGATCATATGAAAATTCTGTGACCAACTTTTTTCACTAATTGTTCAAATTTTGATATGTTCAATTGCATTTGATAGATACTAAATTTTCTAAACAAAATTTGATTCCAAAAATAAGTGATAAGACATTCACTTATCATATATACATTCATATGTATCAAATTTAGTACTTAAATATTGAATAATTTAATGAACTTCTATTTTAGATTTCAATTTTCAGATATCGATTTTATCAAACCCACCCTAAAATTGGAAATGATCAAGTAGTGCTATGTAGTGGTTTAGAACTAAACAAAAGCCGAATTGAAAAGCTCTTACTTGTGTAACCATCATCAGTAGATGAGATGCTTATAGTCATAGAAGCAAATAAATTTTTGACATTTCAATTCAAATACAAAAAGAAAGATGGTCAAGAAGAAGGACAAAAAAGGCAACATATGCAACACATGGTAATTGGAATCAACGAAACCGGCTTTTGAGTACGCTCTGCTTCTCTTCTTTCATTCTGCTGAAGTTTTTACTTCATGAACCTTCTGCAATTTACAAACCACTTGTTGTCCTTTTGCTCACAGATACGGATCTTCTTCCGGCAATTATGCCATTCTTGGTTTTACTTCCTGAATCTCTTTGAAACTCCTGCATTCCAAAACATAATTAAGAGGGTCAGAGATGAGTACCATAGCAAGCAAAGATCACGGCTCATGATAAATCGAACTTTCAGAATACAAAATAAAATGAAAAGCTGAATCAGGAAACATGTCAAGAACTAGCTGCATAATCTAGGATGATCTGGTCATGACTAATACATAAATCACTAAGGTTTCTTCTGCTACAACTTGTCATATCTGAAAGGTTCATCTTGGCCGCAACAGTCCAAAAAGATCCTGCGCAGCTGTGTTAATTGACGTTTTCTAGTTGTTGAAAACTTCATTATTGCATAGCCAGATTCTCATTTATATTTCGTCTTATATTAATGTACAGTTTCATGTTTAGGCATTCTCGTTTCCTCTTAGCACTTGAGTGGTAAAATCTGGTAAAATCCTGTCTGATTAACTCCACTAAAATCACAACAGTATTTGTTATGAAGCATAGGCCTAAATCCAAAATATATTGTGCAGTTGTCTTTGCCCATGAGAGAAGGAATTCTCAACCAAGAGCATCTTGATTAACCTAATTAAACATAGGCCTAATCAATTATGCAGTAACGAAAGAGGGGATGAGCTAAGCAGCTTAACTAGTAACTTTTATTATGATCTGACCTTCATTAATTGGAAGTAGAAGTAGTTTATTGGACTAGATTGGCATTAAATGAATGAGCAAACAGAGCCATACCATATGCCTGAGAGCCATATCCAGGGAACTCTTGGACATCAATCTTCCAAAACCAGGGCCTTCATTCATGGAAGTGTTAAATTTTGTGGTGTTTCGTCTTTCTTCAATGTTCGACTTCCTTGCATCAGAGCCTTCATTCATTGAAGCGTTTAGCTTGATCTTAGGCTTTCTGTCATCACTGCTAGACATCCTGGAATTTAAGAACCTGTCTAACATCCGACTGCCTAAAACTTGTTCTCTATTTGCTTGTTGAGTTCTATCCTTTTCAGAACCTAAATTTCCATCACCGTCCTGCTTGCTGCCCCTCGTGGT